CCCCTGTCCCCCCCCCTGGGCCGGAAACTTTTTTTTTTTTTTTTTTTTTTTTTTTTTTTTTTTTTGCCACTCTACCATAGATACAAATAATAATATTTTGCATTTGTTTCTTTAGAAGACAATACACAAAATTAGTTTTGTTTTTGCTATTATTTTTGTTTAACGTGAAAATGTTACGTCTGTTTTGTATTTTGTTGACATAAACTTTATCTAAATTTTGTCATAAATAATTCAAAGGAAAAGCAACAAAAACGCCTAACAGTCAAAGCTTTGATATATCTTAAATATCGTATCACTATACAGACATTGTATTTACTTGATGTCGGATCAATACCAAAATATGCAGTACCGCACATCTGTAGTATCCTCTTACATGTCAGAAATTGAGTTAAAATTAAAACATTTTACTGAAAATAATATTTTCATTTCACATTCAAATCTGTCGGATTTTAAAAAATGGAGTATCCACAGTCAAAATATTTTGAGTTGTTTTTTATTCTTCAGCACAAAACAATCAACTTTAAGTACAAAATCCAAACTAGTTGGCAACTAATGACAAAATAATGGTCTTTGGAAATGCAACAGATTATTACACACAAAAACACAAGCTAAGTAAAACAAACAATAATAAACAACACATTATAATCCACAACAATTGAACTTGATGCAATACTGAGTCATTATTTTCAGTGAAAAAAGAAAATATCTACAACTAATCATAACTACTTACAGATTTAGTTAGATTTTTTTATTATTATTATTTATTTTTGCCCCAATTCCCAACATGTCTCCAAGCAGTTTGCAAATCGAAACAAAAAAGTCAACTCAATCAAATCAGAGACGTCAAATGTATACATTCTAAATGGATCCTGGTTATTAAACAGCAAAGTCAAGATCAGTATAATAAAGAGATCTCTCTACAGTCATTTCAGTCAGATCAGCACAAAACACTGAAAAAGAGGCAAACTATTTACAGATTTATTTACATATGTGCATTCGGGGTGTTAACGTTCATCGACTCATACCGGTATCAGTACAGCAGGTGTAATAAGTGACATTTTCTAAGTCATCTCTTGAGTCATCAGCTTTTAAAGGTTGGCATCGATTTGTTCTGGTAAACTGCGACATTTTGATTTGTGACTGACTCACTATGCTGCATCAGTGGTGATACCTACTGTTTGGAGTAGAACTGCAACGAGCGCGCCAAAAATGAACATGGAACATGTTTTTATCAGACTGTGTAGAGTCCAGTTTGTGTTGGTCAGCAGTTGTTCCTCAATGATTGGCAAGCTGCCTTAATGCACAGAGAATGTAAACAGGCTACAACTTGTAATGTGAAATTTATCCAAAACAAATCAACTGAAAGGCAAATTTGTCAGAGGGAAAGGCATAAAAACAAACTTTACATTCCTTCTTGTGAAACTCTTCTTGAGATGGCTTCTTGGATGGTTATACTGAAACTAGAATTGTCTGATAAATTTGGGCTAAAACTGACAAATATTTAGACTGGTCATGATTTCATCCACTTTGTTAAAATGTTTAGCAACCTCGGAGGGAAGGTAACCCCAGGACAAGATGCTATGGTATTCTTCTAGTAGTTTGCTGCTGTTTCCATGCTAAGCTTATTTTTTTGTAAATAGAGCATAAAGTTAAAGTTTGGTTTACTCAGACTTTAATATATTCTTCTAAAAGATTTTTAGGTGTTTTGTTTTTTAGGAAGAAAAGGCTTCTTGCTACACCTTAGGGCCCAGTTAACCCAACAGCCAAGTTTCTGGACTGCGGGGGTCAGTTGAAGTACCAGGTAATAACCCACACACACAGACTGATTCACGTTTCATTATGAATCAGTGCTGCACTGAGTAAAAACGTGCCTTTTCCCTCTGAGGGTAAGTAATGCCTGTACTACAACAGAAAGACAAGCTCTTTCTCCATGGTCAAGTCTCACTCCAGCTACTTCTACCCAAGTTGGACTAGATGTGTCTCCATGGGTATTGTGTTCCTCACTATGTGGGCGTAAATATGGGCGGGATCATGGGAAGGTGGACGGGTTACACAGTGGATGCTCCAGTGATGTCGTTTGCTATCTCTCGACAGCCGGTATCTGTGAAATCTCCCTGAATATTTTGTTTGTTGCAGGTTGCCCTGTCAAGTTGTCATTGTAAGCTCTCACACACCGTTGGCTGCGTTTTACATAAGAAGGATAAGGCAGAGGGGCCAACTCTGATGGAAGTATTTTGTAAGGGCATTTTACACATTACATTACTTTAAATTTCTTTACAGATTGCTGTCATTTATTTTTCTCAAAGTTATGAATGAAAATCTACAGAAGGTCTAGAATTGCAAATTTATACCAAAACTATATTATTCCAGCCCAGATCAGTAAACATATTTTCTTATCACTCATAAACTTTCATCTAACAAATGCTTTTCTTATATATTCCCATGTTGATTTGTCATATTATCTGTCTGATGTCTTAGTAAGCTCCAGCTTCCCCTCCCGTCGCTGACCTCAGTTCCTGTCACTTTTGTAGACGTGTTATTTCTGCTGATTTCAGCAACAGAAATATACTTCTTCAAGGTTGGAAAACGACTAACCACAAGATGTCTGAAGTAGTTCTGGAATTTTCTCCCTACAAATGTGTAAAACATTGGACTGATGCAGAAGTAGAAGTATGCCATGTTGCGGGTGACCTGAAGAGCATAACTGTGTCTCTGTTTACCCTCACAGCTTGTGAATTTACCATGCAGGAGTTCTACTATGTTGAAAGGAGTCCAGCAGATAAAAAACATCAGTACAATGACGAATATCAGTCTGACTGTCTTGAATTTCGTAGCTATTCTGGATGATATGACTGTGATTGTGATCCTGACGTAACAGTAGATAATAACAGCCAGAGGGAGGATGAGGAAAACAAAAAGCTGAATATAAAATCCAGCATTTGTCAGCTTCTCTACATCTATTTGTGGGAGGATTCTGGGATACTCTTCACAGTATACCTTGTGGTTAAAGTGTTTAAACGTGTTCATGATGAGCATCGGCCTGATGCAAGCCAAACCACTCACCAGCCACACCACAACACAGGAAATGACTGCGTAACGTTGATTCCTCACAGGAGCAGCAGTCAGCGAATACACAACAGACAGGTGTCGGTCAAACGTCAGCAGAGTTAAAAAGAAAACTGAGCTGTAAAAGCCCATGTAGTAGGCACTGAAGACGATCTTGCACATAGCTGACCCAAAAATCCATTCAGACATCTGCATGTAGACGGCCACAAAGGGAAGGCTGCTCATGAAGATCAGGGAGGACGCCACCAGGTTCAGCAGCATGATGTTGGTCACAGTTGTCAGCCTTTCGAATCTGGAAGGAAGTTGGATAGGAGAGAATCAACCACATAAAAGTTGGACTGCTTATGTTTAAATTGTTTTCTGTATTCAGAGGCTAAAGGTAACTCTGAAACAAACAACAAATCCATCATGGGTAGGAGGTAGGAGATTTAGAGCTAGGCATTAAATTAGACAAAGGAAACATCAGGCCACACCAACATCCAACTGAGATCCTTCAGAGTTCCAAGATACAAGATTAGTTAGCATGTAACACATTTGATACTCCCCCGCAAAAAAAGTTTGAGAATCTATCTATGCCAAGAACTGCAGGAACCTTAACACTGGAATTCAAACCAAACAAAACCATCCACATGGTATCACATGGTAGGGGAAGTATTATGCTGCGACAATGGGTTCTTCAACAGGGGAAGGGACAGAAGTTAATGGGAAGCTGCACTAAACTAAGTAGAGTGAAAACCCCAAAGGAAAAAAAAAACCTGCAAAACACTTTAAAGGTCCAGAAACTGGTCTGACGTTAAGATGTTTCGTGCTGCAGAATGCGGTTCCACAGTGCTCATACTCTGTCTGGTTTCATTTTCATACCACACTCGATTTTAGTTGTTCAGAAAACTCTGAAAACCACAAATTGTTTTGTTTCCATTTCACAGTTATGTAATACTTTGTATTACAATACAAATAAAAATGTGAAAAGCTATAATTTTTTTTCAAAAAATGTTTTTTCTAACACTGTGATTATGAAATATATACACACACACACACACACACACACATATATATATATATATATATATATATATATATATATATATATATATATATATATATATATATATATATATATATATATATATATATATATATAACACGTGTGTGTGTGTGTAATTTTTTGAATAAACCCATGAAAAGCTTGACTTTGCTGTTCTTTCTGTTTTGCAACATTTGTAGAAATGCAGAAAAGTGCATAACTAACCACAATCAAGAGAAATCTCTGTTTCAAAACAAGTTGCACAATTTACATTTAGAAAACAAACGTATTTATTGGAAATGCCAATTCCTGAAAAAGTTGATTTCTGATTGAAAAAGTTGATTTCTGATTGAACGTTTGGGCACTAAGTTGGAGGTGTGCTTTTTTTTTTTTTTTTTTTTTTTGGCCGAATAAAAATTGGTTTTTTTTCAAAAAAAGGGGGGGAAAAATTTTTTTCCCCCATCCCGGTTCCAATATTAAAAA